GGATCGATGGCTGGCGCGACCCGGAAAGCTACCCGCCGATCCTATCGCGGGTGATCAAGATCGCGCGGTTTTTCGTTGTAGAAAAGGCGTTATGGCTCGACCCCGCGGCCATGCAGATCGTCGAAATGTGAGAAAAGAAGCAAACAGATATTCCGTGGGCGCTACAGAGCGCAGACGACGAGCTCGAGGATTTGGATGAAGGATACGCTAGCGGATCGACCGCGGGCAATCCCGTTTCCAGTAGCTCCATGAGCTTATCGAGCTGGAGGATCGACGGTCCTCGTATCCCGGCCGGCCGGCGGCCCGCAGTAATTCTATCGATCGATCGCTCGAGCGAGATCCCGTCCAGCGAAGGTTTTGGTACTCCCGTTTATCCAGTACGGAGTAGTCCGATCAGTTCAAGCCAGGATCGTAACCGATTGGCCGGCCGCACGTTTCAGGACCAGCTGGCGCGGATGGTAGGGCGGTTCATGGTGCGCGGCAGCCACGGCCCCATGCAGACCTTGCTGGATTGGCGGACCTACGGGCTCCGGATTCATTATAACTGCAGTACCCCCGGTTATGTCACGTGGCAGAGGACCGACGAGCTGCTGTACCAGCAGCTCCGTTTTACCATGGGCGATTTCCGCGGCTTCGTCCACGGGCTGGTCGGGGTGACGCGGGGGCTGCTGGACCAGCTGCTGTTCTCTTCGGCCGACCAGTTGGCACCCGCGATCCCATGGGGCCGGCTGTATGATAATCCTATCGAAGGGAAGGCCGGCTGGAGCTTTTTGCAGGATAGTCGGACCGTGTGGCCCGTCGAAGGCAAACGATGGTTGATCGACCGGGTACGGGCCGAGCCGGCGCTGCAGGCGCAGTTTATTCGGACCCACCGCTGCCATCCCCCCAAGATCCGCGCGTATTTCCAGCAGGTTGTTAAATTCAAGGAGCAACTCGCCATACTGATCTACATCAGTGGCGGGCAACTCGCTCGGGCCCCCGAGCTGCTGAGCATCCAGCACGTGAATACCGAAACGAACGTGCGGCGGAATATCTATATCGACGACGGGCTGGTCACGCTGGTCACGGCGTACCACAAGGGATTCCATGTCAGTAACGACGTAAAGATCATCTACCGGTACCTGCCGCGGGAGGTAGGCGAGCTGATAATATATTACCTGTGGCTGGTGCAGCCGTTTGTCGAACAGCTTGACACGTGGCTCGAAAAACAGTCCCCTGCGCCACGCGACCCCCTGTCCCAACACCAGCGTGCGCTACTGTGGGAGCCCGACCCGGGGACGCGCCGCATGTGGTCATCGGACCGGTTCCGCGACGTACTGAAACGGGAGACCGAGCGGCGGCTTGGGCAGGCTATCCACGCAGCCGCATACCGGAATATCGCCATTGGGATCAGCCGGCAGTTCCTGCGGGCGGGCAGCCAGTTTCTCCAGAGCCAGAACGACCAGCGCGAGAGCGAGCGCGCTGCAACCGACCCCGACAATGAAACCGCTATGGACGAGGCGCAGTGGCTCGGCCACATTGCTGACCTGCAGGCGGCCCATTCGTCGCACGTCGCCGGTATGATTTACGGCCGGGAGCTGATGGAGCAGGCCGGCATCACCGCGTACCGGCAGGAGATATTCCGTTTATCCAGTACGGACTGGCACCGCTTTTTAGGGTTTGCATCGGCCCAGTTTGAGCCTCCGTCGGCACTGGAGAAACGTAAACGGGCGCCGTGAGAGGACGCAGCCGCGGAGCAACAGATCTGGCGGCGGCAACGGCTGCAACAGGCAAACATAACGCAGACCGCACGGCAGATGACCCAGCGGACGGAGTTCGAGCTACGGGAGGTCCAGGCACCGGCGCTCCGGGCCATTCAGGATAGCGAGAGCCCCGTGATCGCAGTAATGCCCACCGGCGGCGGAAAAAGTATGCTATTCATGTTACCGGCTTATATCGAG